ATACAAAATTGCATCATGTCGCTGTACAACAAACAACTCCTCACTGTTAAGTAAACATATTTAAATATTAGTGTGTAGAAATGAGATCTTGCAGAAAAAAATGATTAATAAGTTATTTCATTTATTGATTGTGGCAGTTGATAATGATTTATTTTGTAAGTGTATATTAAGTAAATTGTTGGATTGTTTTCCCCCAATTCATTTCTTATTTAAATGAAAACAATGATTAATTCAAGAATTGGTGTATAATCTGTAGGTATCATTGTGTGGATATAAAGAAGGGCTGTGTGATGATCCTCTTTCACACAGAGTTCAGAGACCTAGATGATGTTGCCATCATTACCTCCACCAATTCAGGGGGTTATGTTTTCACCCCTGTTTGTCTGTTTGTTTGTTCAACATAACTCAAAAAGTTATGGACCAATTTTGATGAAATTTTCAGGAACTGTCAGAAGTAGGCCAAGGAAGAGATGATTAGTTTTTGGTGGGGATCCGGATCAGTGATCAATCAATAATCAATAATATTAAAAATTTGCTTGCGTGGTGGAGGTCTGCGCTCTCTGAGTGCTTTTCTAGTTGGATAGGTTTTTATGTAGGTAAGTTTATAAGAACAATAAGCATTGTTCTCTGTTTTATCACTTTAAAATTTGTTTAGATGAATTCCTGCTTTAAAATGGCATTTCCATTGCACAATCTTTAAATTGTTTTCATTGCTATAGAAAAAGATCCTGACTAAAGCTTAACTTCCTAATTGATTCCACTAATACAAATTGATATAAACTTATTCTAAGTTCATAACTCATCTGGTAAAATTCTATGCTAAATTGTTCGGTAATGTTAGATATCACACTTGTGATTTTATCACTGCTATTAATGTTATGCAATTTTTTTTCTTTTAACTTAACATGGTTTGAAAAAGATTTGCTTTTTTCAAATCATCAATATACACCCTCAGATAAAAGCCAAGACTAAATAAATTATTTTCATGTTGATTCTCCAAAGAATACCCCCAAACTTTTTATTGTCATGGCCACTCTGATTTACAGGAGTTCAAGGAAGTTTGCCATAGATACCAGCAGATCCCCAGGTGCTGTTCAGCCACCGAGAGCCTCTGTCAGAACTCAGGGGGGACAGACACCAAGACTGGCAACAACATTGGTACATCACATTTGCTTTTTTTTTTATAATTGTAGTTCTTGAATTTCCAACAAACCGTTCCAAAGACCAATAACCTCATTAAATTGTCACCAGCAGCGTGAACCTATAGAGATGACACAAAAAGTGGAAGACTGTTTTACATTTTGACTTTAAAATTATCAAATCTGATGAATATTCATAAAGAGCAGGTGTGAAATTTTCATTTTACTCCTTCTGGCATTTTCAAAGTCTGAACTTGGACTCTTATGGGTCTTATGCTAGTTAAACATTTTACTTACATATGAATTGCCTATTGTGCACAACTATAATTTGGTGTTGACTTGCTGTTAAGCATAATGTATTATTGCATCAGAATTGGCAGTAGCCCATTTTGTGCATCAGTATTTTCTGCTTTTTGTCTGTATATTTGACAGCTTTGCTGCCTTGTGTAATCCTTACAAGTTAATGACCCTCAATAAATTTTAATATGCTGATCGTGCTCATTTTTGAAAGAGGCCTACCTTTAAATATAGCCACTCAACTAATAAGTAAAAAAAATAATAGAAAAAAAAACTTTTATGTTAAAAAGGATATTTTTTAACCTTTACAAAGACCCTAAGTAAATTTAAACAAAAATGTGGTTTGGCAGGTCAAATTCAAGGTCATATCTGGATCACCAACATTTCCAATTCAATTTTAATTGTCACTCTTCTATTTTAGATAACTTTCATTTTGAAAAATTCTGCATTTGGACAAGTACCACAGCTATGCAAATGCACAGATAAAGCGCAAAATTCCAGGTGGTTCCAGTCAAAATTACATGACCTAATTCAGCAAGATGAGGGCACAGGTCCTTGTAGTCCAAGATGTGGTAGCAGGTGAGGGGGAAGAGTAAACCATGTAAATACTCCAATGCTCATGCTGGCGGTGCAATTAAAAGTGGCACGGAGATATTAGCAAAAAACATGTTCACTTATTTTAATGATGCATACAATGTCAATTTTTTGCCACAAAAATCGACCAAATGCCAGTATATAGTTTCAAGTAGTATACCTAAGAGATTTACCAAAAGCATTCTTTAATTTTACCCGAAAATGATGTTTGAACAGATTTTTCTGCTAGCATTCTATGCTGTATGTCAATGGGGCAGAAAAGTAGGTCACAAAAGTAGGTTAAATTTCCGACCAAAAATTTAAGGAGCAGTCTAAAGCTCTTGTATGACTGATGGAATGATATATTCAGTTTATCCTTTGGCATGTTGAACTTATTTTACTGGGAATCCACGCTCCCCTGATGCTCAGTTCGCATGTACCTTTAATGTAACTAAAATAAGCTGCCAATTAACAACAACACTTTAAGAACTATAACGAAATCACATCATTCTTTTATTTTTTTTTCAATTATCTGGAATAATAATTCTATAACAGTTTGTTTTAATCAATTTTTCTTTTTCTTTCCTTTTCTTATCTAAATTTAAATTGTAAGTGTTATTATCATTAATACATATATTTCACTAGTATTTTAAACATGACAATGATTCAGTTTTCTTTAAGATTAAAATGCTTATTTCAAATAAATCTATTTCAGTTTTTGCTGAAAACATCCAAGGTCAATAAATAAATAAACGTAAATAAAAATATGATAACCATTGATCTATCTATGATAACATTTCATAAAACATTGGTATGAACTGTTCATGAATAAAATGCATTATTAAGCCTAATTACTTCTTCCGCTGTCAACGTTTTATTAAACATCTTTTGAGAAAGCAAAATCTTTGAAGTGCTGCCCTCTGCATATATCAACACTTCAAATACTGGCAATCTGTCAGCATGTGTACAGCGCTCCTGTATGTTAGAATGTCCTTGTAAAAGGCCTTCATGTCTCTGAGCAAAGCCCTGTGCTGAGAATCATTGCCAGGGTATCTAGTTTCATGTATTAGTTTATCAGTCAAGTAGTTGATCCAAAGGACATTGGTGAATGGGTGGTGCTGCTCCCAATTGTCTCTAAAACAAAGAAATAATGATACAATGGAAAATTATACCATTCATGATGTTCAACTGTAAAATTAATATACAATGCCCCATCAAAAGGAGGTCCTACACTGATAAAAGTAGTCTGCAACTGGTCGTATACCTATGGCCAGTAAAATTTTGTTTGGACAAGTAGATTCTTCAGATTGTATGAAAAGTGTTCTGACATAGCCATAGAATTTTTAACTGTATGTTATCAAAAGAGATTTTTGATTTGATTAAATATTTTTGGAAACTGTTACATGATGATTCTAAATAATTTTTTTAAAAGTTTGACAAAATCAAGGTCTTGTTATTACTAATATTATTGCAATAGGGAACAATGTCCAGTACATTTTACTTGGACTAATAGATCTTGATTTAGAGCAGTTTTTCTGAAACTGGTGGTGCAAATGGCCAATCAGCAGAAAAGTTTATGGCGTAGACTGGATAAAAGTATCAAATCTCAGTTGTAGAGTAGAAACATGCAGAAGAACATTATTGATAAAGATAAGGGCAACCACAAAATAATTTATATCCTTGTTCTGGGCAAAGTTTTTCATCAATAGAGGCAAATTACAAGTAGCTCTGTTGAGCTATAAGAAAACTCACTGGTTTTCCTGCTTCATCAACCTGTAGACCTCAAACTGGTAATCTCCCTCCCCTTCAAACAGTGTCTTATCAACAGACAAGTCTGTGAAAATGGTGCAGCCATCTGGAAAACAAAACAGTTGCAACTAAATTCAAAACATAATATAACATACTGACAAAGCACATGACTTGGTAATGGTACACAGTAGTGGTGATAATTGAGGACAGTACCAGAGAGTCCCACTGCTGCATGGATTTTATATGCTCAAAAGTGAGGTGAGATTGTTTCAGCTTTGAACAGACCTACCAGCATAAATTGTGAAGCAGAGTGATCTTGTTTATTGAACATATAAGGCTGCAAACCCAGCCTTTACTTTTACCTTAACATGTTCAAGGGGGCAATTACCAGAAGAATATAGAGTAGATAGTTGTTTTAACACTCTTTTTTTGAACATGAAGACAAAAAGTATGCTAGAAATAGTATACGCAAGGATTATAACTACATATCTTTTTTTTTCCTGCACAAAATGTGCCTATAATATATGTCCCTGGCTGAGGTATTGAATACCATGATTTTAGTGTCCATCAGAAGGTTCACTTAATGCATCTCAGCATATGGGCCTATGAGTGTACTGTTTGAAAATGTCAATTTCCAATGTAATTTTTGGCTTGGGAGTTTAACCCCCATTATTAATTACAAACAGTTATATTGAACAAATGCAAATACACAACGACTGGTGCTTCAAAAATTGCAATTTTCTTTCACTCACAAGAGGTATACAACTCTGTTGTATGCAGGTGAAAAAAATGATCAAACATAAACAGTTGCAAAGTTCTAGAATCAAAGAAATTGGCACAGTTATAAGCATAAACCAAAGACCCATGCTCAAGGGCATTGTAGATTAATCCCATACCTTTCTTAAGTCTGGAAAGTGTAAAATCTATGATGCTGACAGTAACACCATGGACCTTGATCTCACAAAGTTCACCATTCAGCTTATACTGTAGAGTCTCCTGGTTAGTCCTTTTCACCAGCACATTCCCCCAGTGTAGATCTCTGTGTTCAAACTCCAGCTCAGCCTCTGCCACAGCCAAGGCACACACAACCTGGTGCAGGACACTCTTGGCTTCCAAGATGCTCTCAAACTGGAAGGAAGTGATTTTGATCTCAAAAAGTACACATTTTTCGGAAATTTGATTCAGATACAATCAGCATGTTTGGGATTGAGAAAAGGCGGTAAAGTATCACATGCACATTATTCTGACATGAAGTTGTTATTGCTTGTGTCAACAGAAGTTGGAAAAAGGGTACATACTATTTCTACCTTTCAACCTTGATACCAACCTTGAAACCCTCTAGTGCACAGCCTCCATCCGCAAATTCAAACACAATGAATAACTGATTATTGCCAAATATGTCTAAAAAAAAAAAATTAAATTAAATTAAAAATAATAATAATAATAATAAATTAAATTAAATATGCTACTTTCTTTTAAATGGTAATGGCAAGTTTCTAATCAAAGTTGAGGATTTAAGCTGTTACGCTTCCAAGAAATATTTTCATTTAAATGATAACATTTTGGTTAAGAATTAATCAAATGTAGCCTTTCTATGCAAGTTGACATAATCAACCTCCGGCCAACTACCCCCCATTAAAAAGGTAATGTCAAGGCAGGTAACATCTACTGCTTGAACTGAAGGATTGAGGTAGAAAAATTACTGTGGAAAGCCACTCTATCTTACATACACTGTCAACACAAAGATAAACAAAGTAAAAGCACAAGAATGTTGATGAATGAGGCATTGTTCAGTCTTTATTTCTACCTGGCCTGTCATTCTCAGAGCGTTTTGCTTTGTCATAGATGTCCCATTGTTTAAGCAGAGCAGCAGGATACTGGCCTTTCACAAGGGACACCCTGAAATTTGGATTAAGATAAGATAACTGACTGCAAGACTTGGGGTATCAGCCCCCTCTTCTCTCTCTCTCTCACACACACACACACACACACACACACACAACTTAAAGATTTTGGTCAAACACAACTCAGCTGGCTGAGTTTCAGTGTCCCAGACTTAATTTTAAGAAGAAAAATTGTCAATAAAAATTATTCCAGAGCTCTGGAGTTTTTATGGCAGAGTCATCAATACTACTGTCAGGTATTCTGTTGTTACCTTCTAACCTCCACATAGTTTTCAGTACAACTTTTTTGGCTATCCTTCATTGCACTCAGCTCTCTGGAAAAAGTTACATAACTGTAAAATTAGTTTTTTCCTCTCTATTGTATCACAACTGCAGGGCTAGTGAGCATAAACCAGATATCAAAGATGGCACATATACAGACATTACATAGACAAATTTAAAGGCACATATTCAAGATTCAAATATTTCTGAGTGAGATGGATGGTAATTTTTTTAATTTTAATTTCTAAAAAATTTCAACAAAAGCTAATAAAACATACTACTAATAATACAAAATGAGTAAAGTTATGGTTTGATAATCAAACTCTAAACGTAACCATTCCATGCAGTGCTTTAGTAATTGCTTTACCTTGAGATCATGATTTCTGGTAAAATTTCTTCATAGGTCTTCTGTGGTTCATCATTCACAGGGAAATCACCCTCAATAGGAATGATCTGTAAATATTATTTCACAGATATAAAGTCACTAAAAATGTATTGTTTTAAGATAAAAGTGATTAATATTTTCTTATTTTGATATTCTGTCATGTTATAATGTCGTTTAAAGTTACAGATTAAAATTAATTTTTGTTATCCTTTTCTTCAACTTAAACTTAATTCCAAATACACTTTTCAAAATTATACATAGAAACATGAAAGTAATATCAATGAACATGATACAATCTCTTACTAGTGTACCTTTAATGCCACAGATTTCTTATTAACCACAGTTCTGAAAACTTCTCCATAAACTCCCTCTCCAATCTTCGTACACTTGTTCATCATACTGGCAAGATATCAACAAAAGAAATTTATCAGTTCAAAATATCTTTACCTAATAAAAAAGATCTTAAACCAACTACACAGAACAACTTTTATAACCTTCCAAAACATCCTAAAACCACCTCACTTCTAATAACATTTTACTTCTCAGTAAACAAAATAAAAAAAATTATTTCACATCAAACTTTTAACACAACATTTACCTTGATGGAATACATTTACTAAATGATATCACATTGTCTTGCTCACACTGGAGCAAAACTTTCTCTTCCGGAGTCAGCTGAGGAATGTTCTTTGACTTGGATGGAGTAAGGACTTCCTAAAAGCAGAAGTTGTCACATTGTAATATCTGCATAACTGTTCAAATGACCAATAAATTAAGGCTGTACAGGTAACAAGACACATGAAAGAATTTGAGAACAAAATAAAAATTGTTGTTATTGTATTTGTGGCATTACCTTAAAGGATCGACACAGGCTATTAATGTGTCCACTGAGAGACAGCAAGTGAGCATCTGTCTTACTGTTGTCTACAGACATCTCTGCCATGCCTTCTGCAGTATGGTAGGACATGCTGGCCATTCCAGCCTCTAGCAAACCACTGTCTGAGGGAGTTTTGTACTGGCTGTCATTCAGCATGTAAAGAGTGGTGTTGTTAGGATTTTCTAAATCTGACTCTGCTTTTGATTCCGAATCCTCCTCTTCCTCCGCATCTTCCTCTTCTTCCTCATTACCTTCAGATTCCTGTATAAAAATTTGTATATGAAGCAGTTCTTTTACACACACACACACACACACACACCAGGTAGACCCGTTGACATATATGTGAAAACACTTTTTTAACAAACCACTGCTTAAATTCCCCAAAGGTTATTAATGACCATTAAGTACTTCCATCTTTTAATCTCCTTGATCCCAATAAATTACCTCAGCCTTGCACTCATCTTCATCTTCTTCTTCACTACTATCTTCTTCTTCCTCCTCAGTTTCACCCTGTTCTACATCACTAGCTTGCTCTTGATCGTCATTTTCAGAAACAAGTTCCTCATCCTCATCTGTTTCAACCTCTTCCTCTTCTTCAATTTCAGAAATGGCACTAATTTCAGAATCGCAGGATACATTTCTATTCCTCGTCACAGGTCCTTGACCCCGTAACATGTAGCATCCTTTAGGACTGGGAAGATCTGCTAACTCAGCATCAGAGTGTTCACTAGGTGTGTCTGTGTCAAATAAGTCTGCAGAGGCATCAAAAGACAGCTCCACAATTGAATCAAGGCTAGCATGTTTACCATTTGAACTCTTGCACGCAGGGCGCCGTCTGCGTGTAACAAAACTGTCTGTTATTTTCTGAACCATAATTTCACAGCTTTTCAATCCAATTCCATCAGTGTCACAGGCCTTTGTGCTTTCACAGTTCGCATCTTCACATTCATCATTCTGTGTAAGGTTTTTACACCTGTCTAAAACTACTTGGCACTTTCTAAGTGCATAGGTTAACTCTTGTCTGTCTGTAACCTGGTAAGTGTTGCCAGAGCGAACATCCTTGCTGTTTTTCGAACTATCTCCAAGACTAAGTTTTTCGACACCTGCAGATATCTCTGCATATTCCTGTTCCTTAGACTCTTGGGATGGGGTGTTGGGATTCGAGTCAAAATGCTCTATCAATGAGATCTCTTCAGGTTTTATTTTACCAGCAGCATCTGTCCGCTTTGCCTTATGGTATATATTTGGTGTGCTGGTTTCAACACTGGTGACACTTCTCAATGCTGGCTTTCCCCTTGTGACAATGTCAGGTGTTTGCTGCACTGTTATACCACTCAGTTCTTTCAATAAAGAATCACGACCAGATATTTTTTCTCCTTCTTTTAGAGGAGAGTCAGATAAAACCAAACTGTAATTGTCAAACTGGCTGAAATTAAAATGAGAAGCTTCTATTTTCAAGTCACTCGTGTCTGATTTCAAATTAGATGCTGCTGGTTCCTTGGAAGAGCCTTTTGCATTGGTTTTCTTGTTTTCTGTCCTTTTGGCCCTCCTGGGTTGTTTTCTTTTATCTGTTTGAGGCTTTTTGCTCACCTTTTCATCACTTTTGATGTCAAAAATTCCATTTCGATCTCTAAGAGCTTTCCTGCAGCCTACATTTGATGTATTTTGGGAGCTGTTTGCAGAGTCCTAAAATACAAAGCAAATGTGCCTAAGTTAATTGTTGTACAGTGCAGGTAAACACATTCTGATATACATGGGGAATGATATCTTGTGGCAGTAGTTTTCTAATCCTTACATCAAATTCAAATCAAGATACCTGAATTAATCATAAACATGCCATGTATTAACTTTCTTGTGTGATTCTTTCATTTGTAACACTTAATTTTAAAGGACAATCATCATATTCCCCATGGATAATGATTACATAAGCAAAAATCTTCAAACAGATGTAAGCATCGTTTTATTTTTCTCAACATTAAATGAAGGACATGCCGACTTTATAACAGACACACATATACTTACTGTGAGAGCAAAAAGCCTGTCAACAGCTTTAACTTTTGCCCTCCTAGGCTTTCTGCTCCTGTTTTCTTTATTAGCACTGTGTTTGTCTACTGACCTTGTTTTAGAGAAAGAATTGAATGACCTGTCCAAGAACAAAAAATAAGTTAGTAATTTTCTTGTAACTTAACCATGAAAATATACTTTATTATGAACAATAAAAACATACACCTTCCAGAGGAATGCTTATTCCATTTAAAAATCTGTTCAACATCACTGTTTCTTAATTTTATAAGTTAACAACATCTCGAACAACTACATGTTGCACAAATCCTTGATTTTGCCCAAACTGTTAAAAATGCCAGGACAACAATCAATACTTGTACCTTGAGGATACATTCCTGGATCTGTCAGTAATTGATAAAGAGGAGTCCTCAGAACTACTGAATAAAGTTTTCCCTCGTTCTTCTCCAGAGCTCCATAGATCATTTGTGGTAATGACACGATTCCTATGCCTTCCATATGTCTGCACTACTTTCTCCCTTTTGGCCATGTCCAACATATACCTGTAACAGGTGATAGATATAAATCATCTACAGTCTGTGACAATAACACTGGCTCCAAGCTCTCTGTTGGTCAAATTATAAAAACTATAACAATTGTAAATATTGCTTATGGATTTCCTCAGTAATTTACCAAAGAATCAACTTCTATAAAAGTATATAATGAAGACCTGATATGAAATAAATTCCATTACAGCAACATTTGAAATCAGCACAGAGTTGACGAGATATGAACCTTACCAAAAGGACACGTCACTGAACAAATATTACTTGATTGATCTTTACAAGTCTGTCATTTCTTAGATAAATCCAAAAAGTATTGCCCTTAAATTTTCTATATATAAGGACATAAAGTTTATCATCAAACCTAAACAACGCCTAATAGTAATACTAATTATTCAGTAAGACCCCATTCCCATAGAAAACATCAGTCTATGTGGACCTACCTCAACTTTGCAGGGACTCCCCTAAATACTATCAGCCTACTGTAATTGAATGTTTCCATCGTACTCATACAATCATGAGGTTTTCTGTATACATTCTACTTAATGCCAAGAGGAGGTGTGTTAATCTGATTGCATTCAGCGAGAGTCCCCGCAGAGTTAGGTCGATCCAAGTAGACTGATGGTGTCTATGGGAATGGGGTCTCAGTTAATTATATGTATGTCTACAGGCAAACATTGTGTAATCAATTCCAATGAAAATAGTGGTACTGTTAAAAAGCGCTACATTACCATAGTTAAAACATACCTCTCCCGCACACTGTAAGTTGCACCCCCCCCCCCCCTTTGGCCCACACCTTTTATTTGTGGTTTCACTCCTATAATGTACTTATCATTTTTGATGAGAGTTATAATGTAATCACCCAATCTAGACCAATGAATTTGGTCTTCCTGTTACCACAGTCCTGGAAATACGATGTGCAACGCACAGTATCCATTTTAAGAACGTCTCAAAACCCTACCCACCTCAAAATTTGAAAGGAACCATCCACAGCAAGACTGCTGAACCAACATAGGTGTTACAAGAAATAAACACAAACCCTGCACACAATATCAAATATGGCCGCCCTTTTAAATGCATTAATCAAGTATTTTGATTGGACGTTTTTGACATCTCTAAAATGCTAGACGTTATTTCATTGGCCTTCTGCTACTTCCGATATCAACTTCCGGTTACTCCATGTGTTATAAAAACTTGTTTCAACATTGCAAGTCAGATATGTCTACAAGCTTAGTACAGGGCGCAAGCAGAGGGTTGGGATTGCAGTTTTGTAAAAGCTTGCTTGACAAAGGGTCCATCGTCATAGCTACCTGCAGAAATCCTGAGAATGCGTCAAATCTGCAGAATTTGCGCCAACAAAATTCAGAAAAACTTTTCATCCACAGGCTTGATGTAACGAATGAAGAACATGTAGCGCAAGTTGCAAGTGAGGTACAGGCAAAGTTTGGAAAACTGGATTTATTAATAAACTCAGCAGGACTGTTGCACCCGTCAGGCAGAGGAGAGACAAGCTTGAAGGATGTAACTCCAAAGGTACATGAATTAATCTATTATAATTTGAGGTATAAAACATCAGATAGGGTCAAGGTGTTATTTGATTTGATAATGCTAGCCTTGTGATTTGAAATTTGGTGTACATAAAGAAAATTATTTCATTTTGAGCAAAACGTTGTTTTAGTCGCACCATATTGCCCATTTTCGAGGAAGAAACTTTCAAGAATGAGTCTAAAGTTGTTTATTTTAATTTTCAACCCCTTAATCATGTCACAGATACGGACACGGATTCATCACCCAACAATAATTTAATAAATATATTTTTGTGCACCTGTCTTTCATGTGTAAGCACAAACAACACGAGTTAGAATCTGACAGTAAATAGGATTGCTAACACAAAAAACTTTGCTTTGTGCTGTATGTATAAGAGCTGGACACAAATGTACAGTTTAAATTTTATTTCTAGGATTTTCCCTAACAGAGATATATCGGCCATTCCANTATCAATTGTTGTTTTTTAAGTAGAACACATCGGGTCCTGCTAAAAAAGGCTAAAAAAAGCTAAATTGCAGATGCTTTTACTACTGAAAATAAGCTGCGACAGGTATTATTCAGAATTGTACCCTTTTTCGTGGAATGGCTGTTATGGCGAATTGGTTAACAACACCTGCAATATATGAAATACAAATCGATATAGTTTATTTTCTGAAGTTTAAGCAGAAGGCTTTGAACCCCTTGAAGGTCTGAGTTGGGTAAAATATGGCTGTGGGTAATTTCAAAATGCGTGAAGAGCATCTCTAAATATAAATCAGTTTTAGTACATCGTATTCCAAATTCCAGGGGATACTAGACACATTTTCAACTAATACAGTGGGTCCTTTGGTGATGGCCAAACATTTCATGCCACTATTGCAGAAGGGAAGTGGAAACATTGGAACACAACATCCAGATCCCAAAAATCAGCATAAGGCAGTTCTAGTCAATATGTCAGCCAAAGTTGGATCAATAACAGACAATGGTGAGTTTTTTGCTCTTCATCTTCATCAGTCTATTAATTATTCTTGATTATATAAGTGGTTTATTGACACCAAGTAGAGTGCAAATTATTCTGATTTTAGCTTTGGTTTGGAAGAAACTATTTTTATTATTGCAACTTAAGCTGCATAATTTGGGAAATAAAATTCTTTACTACAACCATTCCAGTATTTTTAATCAAAATGAATAAGGATAGCTCTCAACTCTGTCTATATTTAGCAAGAGCTAAACTGGCTTGCATTTTATGTAAAACAATTTGTTTATAAAGTTAAATTGATCTTGGACAGCTAGGGCTCAGTGCTCATCCACATTGAGAATCATACCAATATATTTTTTTACTTGTATATTACATCTCAGTTTGGTTCAGTGATACATCATGACATTGGTAATATGATCAGAGCTCTAATTTCCAAGCAAACACAGAATGATGATCATGTTGGACCACTAAATCCATGGATTCTAAAATGTCTACTGGTCTACACAGAATCATGTAGGACCAGTCTTAAAGACAGACTGTTCAGATCACCCAAATCTGCTCCCTTATTAATTTAAAAGGTGACTCCTCCATTTTGCTGAACAGATTTTACAAATGTCTGATGTTCAAACCATATACTGCATTTATTATGTCAGGATTTAAAACTTTTAAAAAGGCGATGTTTTGTTGCAGTGAATTCTAATTCAAAATCATTTTAATAACTTTTTTCTAATGTCAGGTTTAGGAGGGTGGTACAGTTATAGGATGTCAAAGGCAGCTCTAAACATGGCTAACAAGAATCTCAGCATAGAGCTAGGGCGTGGAAAGAACAAAGTGATATGTGTGGTACTGCACCCAGGGACAGTGGACACAGACCTGTCCAGGCCATATCACAAGAATGTACCAGAAGGAAAACTTTTTACTGTGGAATACTCTGTAGGTTGTTTATTAAAAATTGTTGATAGCTTAAGTTATTTAGATACTGGCAAATACTATTCATGGGATCACAAGGAATTGCCATTTTGATGAAAAGAGATAACATTTTCTCAGATGTATTATTATTATTATTATTATTTTTATTTATTTATTTTTTTTTTTTTTGTATTCTGAAATTTTAAACCAGTGTCTAGAGATGATTTTTCACATAATTATTCTAATTAATTCATTTTTTAATTTGAAGAATTTCAAAGGATTTGTATTATTGAAAGTCATGTAAAATTGAACCAAAATATGTGTGTTGTGTCAGTTGAAGACCTGGACATATTTCATCATGATATTCTAGATGCTGCATAATCACATTTCAAACAGTGGGTGTTCCTTTTAGCCTGGGTCACACTGCGCTTGCAACCTTTTTGCAACCACAAAATCTGGCAGTCACGTCATGCACTTTGTTACTTTCCAGATAGGAACTGTTTATTGAAACCAAATTAAGGTACACAGTTGAATGACTGTCACCTTGTGCTTGCCTTATCAAATCATACCTCACAGTCCCATTCTGAAATTTGTCCTCTCTGATCACTTTCTTTTTATAAATTTTTGTGAACGTGTTCTCTTGAGACCAACAGTGTACACGCCTTTCATAAATCACATTACTAATAGATGAGTTCCAGCAGAAAATGATTCAGTTGCGATTCTTAGCGAAGACAGAGCAAATCATGCTGTACTCAGTATACTGTAACCTAATCCTTTTTCAAATAAACAAGTGAGAAATTCTGTGACATTATTCACAGAAGGCGAAACTTGATGAATTTGTTTTTCATCACAATACTTTATCCATCTTTGAATATATGGTTGATATCCTTTCTTTGTGGATTGTTTCCATGATGCCATGATGATTCTGGTTGCTTCTGCTGAATATCCTCTCTTTTTGACAAACAACATGCAAGCATGACTAGTTTGTTTGCTAGTGGATGGACTTGTTTCGTGTGGTGTAAAGACAGGAGGTTCCTTTTATTTGGAAGAATCACTGGCACATCCACTAAGAGTTGCATTAAAGGGCTGAACCATATCTGAGTCTCCCACAGTGGCACTATAAAAATTGCTTGAACTTGACTGCCCTGGACCCTCTGAATGCAGCATTAGGACAGAGGGTACGGTTAAGGATGAAGTGTTCAATGGAGACAGAAAAGTTGTGTCAATTTGAGGGCGTTGAGGAGTAAACGAAATGAGATGCAGGCCTGTAATTGAGCTGTGCTCCTTGGTTGCCTGCTTTTAAAATTAAGTCTATGCTCTGTTGCTGAAATATCGCCCACTGCTGCTCAGACAGGTTATCAACTTTCTAAGCCAAATACTAGCAAAATGCTTTTCTGCTAGATGTAGGTTGCTGATCACTGATAGTTTTACAAAGATTGAGGATGTTCTGTTCAACTGTATCTGTCTTCCTTCTGTTGGTCTCGGCGCTGCTGGTTGAAAGGACTTCCTCTTCTTTGTCATCCTCTTCATTTTGTCCAGGAGGCAATAATTGAATATGTGAAAAACATTTAAGGAACATTTTATACAAAGTAAAAGTTTTTTTTAGTTTGTTATTTTGTAATTACGAGAATTGGATATTATGTCCCTTAGTGTTGCTATGCATAATTTAACAAGATCTTTGCAAAAAAATGGACTAACCAAGCCTAGCTGTAGATAGGAGCTTCTGATGGACATATGCTTTTCCAAAAAGGAATACCTCTCCATCATCCACCGTTGCCTAGCAGTAAAGTGTCTTCTTCCCTGTCCAGACCTAACCTTTCTAACCCTACCATACATTGTTCTCATGTACCGAACCACTGCCATAACTGTTGTCCTTAAATATAATATGCAGTTTGTCGATATGTGATTCAGAGACAGTTTGTATGTTAACTCCAATGTTTCCACATTTTCTATGGACAGCTCATCAGACATCAAATTTGATGCTTGTTGAAACAGCTTCATTAGCTGGGCTCAGTTCGCCAACCGGAGTATTTGATTTTTCTCTGCAGCCATAGTCACCTGGTCACAGCACCAAAAATTGTCAATATGCGGTTCAGTGAAAAAATTGGAGTTGAAAAACTATACATTTATTGTACCACCAGCGTTAGCGCTGGCGGTACACATGGTTTTAGTCCCGTCCGGTCCGTTCCGCCGGCTCCGCCGCCATGTTACCGTTACCGCTTCTCCTCCTAGACGGTAAGGGCCCCCATACCCATCTCTTGGATTTAGGTCACCTATAATCTCAACTCGTTCCACGTAAAATTTGGGCTTTGTCGGTATTGGGGTCTAGGTGTGGCACTCATTGCAATGCACCCTTGTCCAAAAATGGCAAAATTAAATGCTAATTATCTACCCTACGGAAGGAATTATGGGAAAAATTTCTACAGATGGCTTTCCAAAAGTCATATGTGTAGATTTCAAATATGCCCTTGGATTTGACCTTTGACCTTTATTTCAAGGTCAAACGGGCAAAAATTTTCAAAAAAATGAATTTTTTTACGAAAAAAAATTTATTTGCGCTGTTATTCAGACACCACACAGACTTAACCAATAATATTATTGGAAAATGTTACCCTTCAGGTCATCTTTCATCTGTGTGAATTTGGGGTCAATCGGTGCATTTTCACGGGTGTAGCGGCCATAAGATACCGAAACTGAAAACTGTCTCTAATTCGGGAACCGTTAATGCTAGAGACCCATTCTTTTTTGCATTTTGTAGAGCATGTAAAGCCCAACACTGGAGGTGGTCTCCGTTTTTTTGTATTCCATACGGTTTTCGAGTTACGCTGTATCAAAAAGTACATATTGGTGGTGAAAGCAAAATGTGCAGTACGGTAATGGATAATAAATTTTGAACTCCGGAAAAATAAAACATAAGGCTTGGCAAAGCAGACAACTTGTGGTCAAAAATGACATTATTTCATCAAATTTGAACTTCTGGAACTTCAGAGCACCTCCCATTTCAAGAATTTTGACCAAAATGACCTTTTCTTTATTTTAATTAATTTTTTCTGTAGGAAATTTATGGCACATTAAGGTAACTCCGAAATTATAACATTTAGTCCCTTATATCTCCAAAACTGGCAGAGATAGGTCCATAGTTACTATTGAAGTTGAATAGGAAGTCATATACTGGCAATCTTACTGTGACCTTAAAATTGACCTTTGACCTACTTTTCACCATAAACTGAACTTTGCAAATTTTGCTTCCCTTTTATCTCCAAAACTGGCAGAGATAGGTCCATAGTTACTATTGAACTTGAATAGGAAGTCATATACTGGCAATCTAAATGTGACCTTAAAATTGACCTTTGACCTACTTTTCACCATGAACTGAACTTTGCAAATTTTGCTTTCCTTTTATCTCCAAAACTGGCAGAGATAGGTCCATAGTTACTATTGAAGTTGAATAGGAAGTCATATACTGGCAATCTAAATGTGACCTTTAAATTGACCTTTGACCTACTTTTAACCATGAACTGAACTCTGCTAATTTCTTTCTCTTTTAACTCCAAACCTGGCAGAGATAGGTCCATAGTTACTATTGAAGTTGAATAGGAAGTCATATACTGGCAATCTTACTGTGACCTTGAAATTGACCTTTGACCTACCTTACAATAAACTTAACTTTGATTGTACCATTTTAAGTTATATATATTTTTTGCGTATTTTGAAAATTCTTGTTGATTGCATTTTTACAGCTTGTCAAGCATAAGACTAGTGGCTGTGTCCCTTATTTTGCGTATGTGGGGGTCTATACGAATGCGCTTGCTCCAGCTGGTGGTACAATATTCGGAGGCGGTATCGCCTCTCTGATCCTCTAGTTATCTACAGAGAACGATCAAAAACTACCCACTCAATGAGTAGGGCGTGAATATATACAAAGTAAGCAACAGGAGGCGGACTTTAAACTGTAAATACATGTCCACTACAGACATTGAGATATGAGCTTTAAAATACGTTACTAGAACTGATCGTGCAGTTCGTTGTGCACACCTGTGCAGAATTTGTCCCTCATAAGCTCCTGATGGACATATACTTACCATTGGATGTTTCTGATACCTGTACGTATCCCGGCCCTGATGCCTTCACAGAATGGATCTTGTGGGTGTTAGGAATGCCAAACACATTTTCCCCAAGATTTTTTCATCAATTTTTCATTTTCATCTATGGATGCTTTTGAGATGTAAATCACATTAACCCCAGGGTTTCTTGCTTTTGCTACTTTGCTTAACTCCTCTGAAGTTGATGCCTGCATGGCCCCCGTTCGTACATACCTCCATACAGCTCTTTTCACCACTTTTGGCTATGGTAAACAGTTCATAAAATATTTATTTTTCATAAAAAACTGAGCACTTGTACATCCAGACAAAATAGTGCTTAATGTTTAAGTGCACTATACTTTTCAGCTGGATAAACAGCTAGCATACAAAATTTTTCAACTCATCAAAAATACAATCTAGTACTAACATACATCTCAAATAACACTTTCAGTATGTAAAATCTTAAGGCAGGCTCTCAGTATTTCTGATTTCTTTCATAAAAATACTTTCTCAAAGGCATCTCAGACTAAGCTGTGCTTACTGTTGCACTATTTTCACGTGGACTCATTCAATTGAACTCCAACCTCCTGATTGCAAGTTCATTAATTTGGGCATAATACTTTGTGGCAAAAAGATGATTTGATATGTCTCTTTAACATAGCCCAAAAAAAGTGTTAGAAAAAGCCAAAGATGATTTGATATGTCTCTTTAACATAGCCCAAAAAAAGTGTTAGAAAAAGCCAAGTCCCACAAATTGTAAATGAATTCCTGGGGGGGGGGCCTCTCCACTCCCAGAGCTGGTATCTTCAAATTCATTTGCATGATACATGTGCTTGCCGTTGGTAACATGGAATCTGTTGCAAGTGAAAATGTCAGACTTATATCACTTGGAAATCCCAGTGAGGGGATTTCCTTTACACCAGTGCAGAATGCCAGAACATGTCCTAAAGTTACACTCTTTCTTCTGCCTGCTGAGAAAGAAAAAGTACACTATTAAATATATATTCTTCAGCATTAATTAAAATTTACTTCTGAGGCATTTACATTATACTCAATATCTATGTTGTAGATTATCTTATTTTAAAAAAAAATACATCAATTAGAGTGCTGCATGTGACAGTAACAAAGCTTGTAATATATATATATATATATATATATATATATATATATATATATATATATATATATATGTATGTTGTTGACCATTAAATGTTGTCTGACCAGTCTCATCGTGAGGTTATAGGTTGTACTTATCTACTGTGCACAGGTTATTTTATTGGGAAACCATTTGCTCCTCACTTACTATTAATCACATTTTTATTGTATGATACACTTTATTATTACCTGCCACTTCTCTCAGATACCTCAAGAACTGTCCATAAGTATGCTCTTCTTCTCTGCGCCTGGATGACTGAGGCGCAGAGAATTCTGCTTTCAGAAGCTTCTGTATTTTTGGAAAATTGAGGCTTGTATTTGAATCCTTAAAAACCATTCTCAGTGTGGGGAGTTTTTCCATCAACTACAATTAAAGTTGAAAAGTTGTTATCATTAATAACATTGCCAGAAATATTTTTAAAAAAATGAATATGCAATAGGATTTAATGAAAAATAAAGCAGTACCATAGATGTGTAACTGCATGTAAAATTTTTTATTAGGTTTGTTGATAAATTGATAATCAAAAATTGAAAATCATTATAATCATAACAATGATACTTATCTTATCCATTAAGTTATAACTAAAAAACCCAGTTTCCCTACCTATATCAATTAAAATCACGAAGTTAATTAACAGAATTAAAAGGGGTATAATAAATAAAAATTTTCATCATTATTAAATCAAACACACATGTCATAAATGGCCAGTCTACACTTTCAGAAACCGTGTAAAAAGCTGCACAAACTGCTGGACAATTGCATTACCATATATTCTGTCATTACGCCTCATACAGAGCTCCAAATGAGCCGATCCCAGCAGGGCAATGCCATCACAGGCATCTTTGGCTGTTTTTCTGTCATTATTATCCAGGAGTTTGTTAGCTACATTTGCAAAGATGCCACAAGCTTTGACAATAGCCCTCTGGATGTCACACATCCTGGCATCCTTCGCCCTCAACTCCTTACTGGCATTACTCCAGATTTGTTTGTTCACCAAGGGGACCACCATGGCATCGCAATTTTTTGGTCGTAGGTGATGCTCATATAGTTTCTTCGTAATATCTTTTGACAAAGGTTTGGTGAATTTTTTGTTAACAATGCTTGCTAACTTTTCCCTGATTTCAGGGCCCGGAGTCTCATCATCATCCAGACCTTCATCAATTAAATCTAAAAAAGAGTCTTCTTCTTCATTAGGCTCTTTATCTGCTTATTCTTCAAACAAGCCCTCTGCATCACTATCTTCCTCATCTGAGTCTGATGACACTGCATCATGACTCCGTTTCTGACTATGGGTTGGCTGAGGGGCCTTAACAGCTCCCTCCCCATCAGAGTCTGATGACACTGCATCATGACTCTTATCAGAGTGGGCAGACTGAGGGGCCACAGAGTGTACCCCACTGGAGTGAGCCTTGCTCATCACCAACCATGCCTCACTCATGTTGGCCATAGCACTGGCCATTTTGGTAAAGTTTGCGTCTATATTGTTCATGTAGTCAGTCACTGTTACCAAAGAATTGTTCTCCTCACTGGTAGTGTTATTTCCAGATTCCTCCATTGTACACACCATTGACCGTCCAAGTAAACAAAGTAAAATAAAGAAATTATCCACAAAACACGGTAGACAAGGCACTAAATATGTAAGGGAATAATAATCCAATATAGAAACTAGATAAATGTAAAAAAGCAATTGACTCAGAGACCAGAGGTAAGAAATGCGTCTGACTGATAGCACAGCTAGGATCACACTGACTAGCAGCTGGGTTTCCCCATCTCATGTTACTCCTGAGTTCCTGACGTGTGAGGTAGAACATTGTTTTGACAGATGAAGCGGTTGGATGATCTTGGATTTTGATTCTATGAAAGCGTCCCCCTCTTTTTGCGACAATCTCCTCCCAGGACCCCCCCCCCCTGAATTTATTTGAATCACATAACTGATGAAATGAGTGCTCTTAAAAAATTGTGACCATCTTTACGATTATTGAGATTCAACTGTATGACATAAGAACAATTATTAAGCCAAGAGAAAGTCAAATAAGGCTTTCGTGTAAAAAATCAACATTCTTATCATCTTGCCTGTGAAGATACGCCTTTTTATTAAGGGGAGGGGATGTATCCAGGCTGAAATAGATAGTTGTTAGTCTATTAAAAACAGCTATTGCACTTTGAATGGCCATTTGCCCCTCCTTTTCCTTCAAAGTATAACGGATGATAACATGGACAAGAATTAAGAAGTTAAACGAGACTTACCTGTAAGTTGAAGTTTGACTGAGATTCTGTCGAGTCTTCAGGAACATAGGGTTTACGTGAGATAGAATATGCTTGCGCATGCTCAGTTTTGAGAGAAAATGTGCACATCAGGTTATAACCCACAGGGTCGGGAAGGGTGGGCACGTAACTCAACCTCAACCAACTCAACAATGCTTTTAGCATTTATCTCATCTCGCTCTACATCTGCTTTATTTAAAAGCATAATTAGCGGGACCATTGCCTTCAGAATGCACTCTTGTGCATTGACTAGTTTTTTAAGCCCGAAGACCTAATTTTGCCCTCTAGTGCCAACCAGAATTCTGGATTTACACGCGGTACTGCGAAACCATTCACATTCCCAGGCCTCATGTGCTTAACCATGAGGTCTTTTACTTTGTCATCTTGTAGTCTCTCTTGCAAGATACTGTTGATTAGTTTTGACAGTTGTTCAGAAACATCCGGCCCTACTCTCTTCACTCCTGCCAGTTCATTAGAAATAGAGAGTTTCGGCAGGACGTTGAACGTGTACGTGTACATACGAGTCATCACGTTCACGTTTGCGTACAAGCATGACCCACTTTTCGCTTCGGCTCTTCGTGAACGTGGGGGCGGTGTAGTCGCAAAACAACATGTCCGACCGCGAGTTGTTACATCTAGCGATACAAGAAAATGACACAGACTTGATAGATATGCTGATGTTGGATGATGCCACACGCAAAACCAAATTTAATCAGAATATTCCTAGAATCGATCTCACCTCGATGACTGATGAGCAAGTGTGGAAACAATTCCGGTAAGCCTATTTTCCCCACTGTCTTTTTTTTTTTTCAGACACCAGCTTTTAGTTTAATTTATATTTTTTTATTACATCACATTTCAAACCAAAGGTTGGATAAATACAGAGGATACATGTTAAAACTTAAAATACAATGATAAAAAAGAAGAAGGTTATAATGAAATAAAATAATAAGAGAAACAATAATATGCAATTGCAGTATGATACTACTGGTGCATGCAGTAGTCATACTGTACTAGTACTACTAGTAGTATTACCACCAAACTACTTATTAACATGCTTATACTTTTAAGACTTATTTTGTGCATTAACTTACATTTGTAAATTTCAATTCTTCCCCTCTCATGCTTTATCATGCCAAGTACACTCTTCTCTAAAACAAAGTGACTTAATAATGTGATACTAAGAGTGACATTTATTTAATTGCATAATGGACATGTACTGGTATATTAAACTTCTCGGAAAATATTATAGTTTTCAGAGGGAAGATATCGATCGGTTGGTTCGACTTCTTCAACTTCCAGACATAATGATATTTGCTGACAGAACAGTAACTTCGGGAAGAGAGGCTTTATGTGTATTACTAAAGAGGCTGTCATATCCAAACAGATTAGTGGACCTTGAAAATGTGTTTGGAAGATGTACAAGTCAGTTATCTGTAATAGTGAATGAAACAGTGGACCACATATATGACAATTATAGTCACTTGATTCATAATCTAGATCAACCATGGATGGACATGGATCATCTCATGCAGTATTCTGAGGCGATTGTTTCACAGGGTGCACCATTAAATAAGTGTATTGGTTTTGTGGATGGCACCGTTAGACCTATAAGTAGACCTACATTTCTACAACGGACATGCTACAATGGACACAAAAGGACACACGCAATTAAATTCCAGAGCGTTGTGATCCCAAATGGGATTATATGCAGTTTGTATGGCCCAATGGAAGGCAAGCGCCACGACTGTGCCCTTTTGAAAGAGAGTGGTCTTCTTCAACAGCTGCAACAGCTACCACAAGATGTTGATGGGCGATTTTGTATTTATGGTGACCCTGCATACCCCATCCGCCCCCAACTTCAGTGTCCATTTCGAGGTGCAAACATTACACCAGAGCAGCACGCATTTAATTCTGAAATGTCTCGGGTCCGAGAAAGTGTAGAGTGGGCCTTTGGAAAAATTGTACAAACTTTTGCTTTTCTCGACTTCAAAAAAAATTTAAAACTTTACCTTCAGCCTGTTGGCAAATTGTACGCAGTTGGTGCAATTCTCACCAACTGCCATACTTGTTGCTATGGTGGAGTTATTACAGAATTTTTTAATGTACACCCTCCAACATTGGAGGAATATTTATATCAAAGAAACTAAACATAATAAATGCATCACATATCTAAAAGAATTAAGATAATGTGCTGTAGTGTAGAGGAAAAGAATTGAGCAAATAAAGAATTGTACAAGGTTGAAATTTTTTATTTACAATATAGTGGTAATTTTCTGTAACTATTGAGCAATGAAACGTTTTAAACATATAAAAAATTAGAAAAAGATTTCAAAATATGAGCAATATTTGGAACTTTTGTACAAAACTGAAATAAGAGCATTTATTTTTTGTAGCAGCATTCAACAATAAGTAACGGTACCGAATGCCATTAATTGCATGGTTGATAGGCCTATTTATTTATGAGCATTATTTTAGCTTTTGACCAAAACAAAAATAAGAGTATTCATTTGACATGGCTGCTTTCAACAATAAGTAACAATAAAAATAATAATATAACAGTAAAGAATGCTATTAATTGCATATGGTTGATATTTACAATATAGAGATGATTCTTTTTAACATCATTGAGGAATGAAACTTTGAATCTGATATATATAAAACTAAAAAATATATATGAAATAGATTTGAGCATTTTTTTAAGCTTTTGGCACAAAACAAAGAAAGAGTATTCAATTATTTTTCATCATTTTGAAGAAAATAAAAATAAACTTTGGCACAAATAAGCAGAATATAAGAATGGACAAAAAAATTATTTTGGCAATTTTGATGCAATAACACTGGACAAGTATACTTAACAGCAAAATCAGCACTAAATATTAACAAACAGAATGAAAAATAAATGTGCACAAAAAGGTAACTTGGCCTATTTCATGTAGTCTTTGTTTAAAAGTGTAGTCTTTGTTTAAAAGTGGGTACTAAAAAGTAAAAAAAAAATCATGGTCACATTAAATTGCCTATATAGCAGTGCTAATAGGAAAAAAGATTTATTTCTTTTCCATTACTGCCTTCATCAAGTCCAGCATCATTTTCTCTCTTGCCGCCTCTGCTTCCATTCTTCTCTCCCTCTCCTTCTTTTCCAGTTCAAATCTGGCTTTTGACAATGCGAGTTCTTCCCTCTTGAGGGCCAGCTCCTCTTCCCGCAATCTCTTCGCATTCTGTTCCCTTTCCCTGACTATGGCCAGATAATCTTCTCTTTCTGAGCTCCTCTTTCTGCCCACACCTGACTGTCCTTCTGTTAAAGGGAGAACATGTATTTAAACAAATGATAAAAGCTAATATTACTGCTTTTATTAATCTTATCCAATAAAGTACTAGTATTTTACATATAGAGATATGTCAATCCAGTTTCTTAGTGTCATACATATTGTAATTGGCTTTATCAAATACAAAAGTGGCTATTATACAAATTACATAATACCTTTAACCTCTTTTCTATTAAGGGCTGCCTGCCTTACAGCCATCCCCTCCTCTTTTTCAGCCTTCTCAGCGTCAACCTTGTTGGCCTTAGTTTTTTGCTGAGTTTCATTGAGGAGTGCTACCAGGTCAGTGAGTAGCTGCTCTCTCTGACCGTACTCTTCATTTGTTCCAGATCTGCAATTATTTATATTTTTAATAATAATATACTTCTTCCAAAATAAAATGTGAATAAAAAATGTAACAGAACAGAGGTAATTTATATAAAGACATATGGTAAATGAAGTACTAAGAAAATTTTGAATGTGTTGAATGTGATGAGTACTTACTTTCTTGCACTCTCCATTTCATCTTTCTTAAATTTCTGAATCAAATGTGCTGTTCTCTCTCGAACAGTCCTGGCAGTGGTTAAAGTCATTTCATCGCCACGCCTCTCTTTCAATACAGCATTAAAGGAGGTGGAAACTTCTGCCCACCTTGGGCTTTCCTCAAACGGATTTACCACTAAAACCTCCTGCAGCAGGAGAATGTCTAGAGCAGGAGTGAATCTGATTTTTTTATTTTTATCTTCTGCCAAAGCCATCTTGTTTGAGAACAGAGCACTGTAATAAACAGAAAAACAATTTCATTGGGAAACCTAGCGTTTTAAATGACTTTATTTCTTCTCTATCAGTAAGCAAAATGAAAAAAATTGTTTGATTCAATCATATACATTTTCATTGTAGAAGGCAAGTGATACATGTTCACGAAGTCATGGTCATTGCATACAAGAATCCAAGGAATGGAGAGAATCTGACAACGCAAAGAGCATCTCTGTAAAAAGCCCGTTTTTCCTTCAATTAGCCATGTAACTCAAGATTATTGAGATAAAAATCTAATGAATAGTTAATCTTGCTATGTTAATCAAAATGATATAAAGAATAATGCCTTTTCTACACTTAAAGAGCAGTTAAAAACTCACGTTCTTCACTTACGTGTAAACAGCCTTCTTCACGTTCAGAACGTACGCAAGACGAGAACCTAGGCGAGGCTGTATGCCAAAAGTCGTGACGTAGAAGGCAACAACCTGTTACGTCACACGTATACGTACACGTTCAACGTCCTGCCGAAACTCTCTAATATCACTGCAACGAACCCGTGCTTAGAATTGTTGCGGCTCTGCCATGAGCTATCTATCGTGATGACACAGTCCACAACCTTCCCCAAATCGATGTCCACGCCATGCAGAAGCTGTTTTACTTGCAGCACCACCTTATCCATGCTCTCCTAGGTAGTCTGGCAAGCAATGTCTCATAACTGTTTGGTATGGTCCAGCCAGGGATGGCTATGAAGAAGGAGAGGCATTGATAAAAATGCACTCAGTCTTTTAGGAGCATGACAACCTTTTCCAACAGCACGCATGCCCAAAACGCTAGCCCTTTAAATTTTAAAAAATATGCAGTTCTTCTAGAGGTCAATGTCTACCCTTCCTTAGACATGCTGCCGCAGAAGACACATGTCCATTTCATTTTACTTGACCATCCTGCTGGTACCTTGTTGATTTCTCTGTCAGCTGTACCTCACCCCCAAGCTCAGGTGGCACTGACGCTTTGTTGCAACTGGCTGCAGTGCCAAATACTGTATCCAGTACAAAAACAAACCAGACATCTTCATGACCAAGACTAGTGGTTAACTGGACTGTTTTATTTTTTCCAGCACCTTTCTGTATGACATGGTGGCTTCTAGGCAGCAGCTGGCTACATGGACATGGCTTTCAATAATAAGGAACAGACAGTTATAGACCAGCAAGAACATCCCTAGCCTTCATCTCATCCATATATATGCAACACATGGGATGTGGCAAATTTTAGAACAAGTGGAATATACACAGCCAGAGACAGGAAGGTGATATGGTAAGCAGTATTATTACAGTATTATTGCAGTAATGTAACAAACAAATTTGTGAGGAACCATGTTCTAAAATGATATTTTGCTAGACTGCAATGTTTGAAACAAATGATTATCTCCCGCAGCTGTCATCTTTTTTTCATTTTTACAGTATCATTATACATACATAACATATATAAATATACACATATATAAATAAATTTAAAGCATTTTCAAGCTGTTGTATGGATTATGGATTCTTCATGCCGTGGTTCTTTGTCAATTGTTATGCTTTCAGTGGTATCACTTAAGAGAGATTGATTGTTACATTTGGGTTTTTTCCTTATCTTCTAAGATAATATGGAAAATAAATATTGTCATGTTATGAGATAATCCTGCTGCATCAAAAATAAATCGGGGTGAATTTGCCAATTTCATGGTGTAAAAACAGCATTCTTGGGTTGAAAACTGTAATATTAAATTCAGATATATCTCCCTCATCTGATCAGCTAACAACACTGTTTTAACACCCATTTGATCATAACAACAAATACTGCAAACTGATGCCGGAAAATGTTCTGGAAAGTTTTTCTTCGGATTTTATCACAAAAGATGCAAAATAATGTCTTTGTTTAAATAAATTATTTAAATGATTAATGAAGCATTATGATTAAGGGTTCATATCTCCTATCACTTAGTTACAGAGCTATGTTCAATTTTTTTCCCACAGTGTCCACTGGGAACTAAATGCGCATTTCATCATTTAGCTTTAAGTGGCCCTATTAATGTCATTTATTATTTCAGCCCCAGCCTGCAGGTATCCTAGGTTGGAACATCTCTCTGGCCCATCTCCTAGGAGTATTTTTGTTGTATTTTTGTGTAAGATATGATATATACGTAGTATTTGTATGTTGTAATTTCACAGGAGTTTGGCCTACTTCAAGGAGGTCCATGCCCAACATTCCTTGATTGTCTTCTAAGCAGAGGAGGAAATTACATGTGGAGAATTCTTAAGATATTCAAGAGAGGCTACAGGTAATAATTAGATAGTTTTTTATTTTAAATTGACAAAAAACCTTGTTTTGGTATTATAAATTTAAATCTTTTGTTTCGAATTGTCAGTAAATTATTGAATGGAGTTGTTTCTGTAGAACACAAACAGTGTAAGTTGCCCTCTAAGGACCCATTCCCAATGAAAATACAGTTCTAGATTCAGCTCCAGGGGGACTCTTGCTGAATGCAATCAGACTACCATGCCTCATGATAGTGGACAAGTCTACTTAAGTTTGCATTTGTTTTTGAAAAAATTACCAACTGCTGCTTCTTTATTGTAGAAATTTCTTGTTGAGGTTTGACTATGATAATAGAGAGCTAATTATTTTGGGAACAAATTATTAATGAATCACATTTTTCCCTTTTCAGCTGGCAGAAGAAAAGGGATTAGCATTATCAAATGTTATGGCCTTCTTCACTGAACTGATGGACATTCAGTTTCTGGGATTTCAGCACCAACCAAAATTCACATTCTCTATTTGCCACAGACTCTCTTTTGCATGCCCACAGAAACTACTGGTATTGTGTGCATGTGCATTGATATGATTTGTGATATGATTGCCCTTCTCAGAAGGCAAGAAACATCACAAGAACAACTGTTTGATTTGTGGGACTTACCTTTTCTGTCATCACACATATTTATTTATCTGTTAGAAATGGATCGAGATTATTTTCATGTTTTTATTCACTGAGATGAACCTTCAATTGTTGTGTGTGTGTGTGGTAAATTAAGAACTTACAAATGGAATGGTGAAGGTTTTGAAAGCCAGCTTGGCATATAATTATACACACTGTGCATGATGTCAGTCTGTAAACACTGACAAGTTGAGAAGGTTTTGTTGGATATTTTTTGAAATATGCCTGATTATATACCGAGGTACATAAACAGTATCTTTTAAAAGAACTTATCATACTCAGTAAAAAGAAAAAATATAGCGAAAATTATGTATGAGATTTAGTTTTTCACTATGTTCACCTGGATGATATTAGTAGAATGAGACTGTTCTTAATACCGCATTGCATTGACAACAGGCAATCTAAGGGTGTTTTAAGTGTGTTCCATATTTGATCTGCAGCTAAGTTCTGAAAATGGAACTAAGGTCCTCTTCCATTATTCCATGCACCATTATTCAGGCAAAATGCCTGCTTTGAATTCAAAGATCTGAGTTTGTATATGATGTGAAGTGAAAATTTGAATACCAAATAAATATTCTAGATATTTCAATGATGTGTTATTTGTTCCTTTCATGGATTACATTTTTATTATAAATAAAAACATTTTATTCAGAAAACTCACTCATGTCTAATGAAATGCAGATAAAGAAATGATTGCTTTCAGAAAAATTGATAAGTTGGTAGTATTTGTTTGTTTGAAAAATAACATTTAAAAGCATATATGCATCTGATTTAAGGTTGCCTCTAAGTTTTGTTTAAGCACATAAGTGAGCTTTTTTTAATCTTATGATTAAAAGTCAATCCTTACAGTTTTTGTTTTTCATTCTGTCCCTTTTCTTATATTCAGAGTAAAATATTAAATACATGTATAAATGCCTCAAATCGATAATTTAATTAAGAGCCGCACATCTTTCCCGGGATGGGGGAGGGGGGTGTCTTAGGGGGAATCGTCCAAAACAGTCGGTATAAACCAAACTATATTATGTTTTACTTTGAATTAACTGAGTGTCCCTGTTGGGTAAAAAGTAAGATTCATTTCAAAATTGAATTCTTTTGTCAATATTGTTCCAATGTTGTTTTATTCAGAGTTGTTTATGAAGTTACATGAAACCACAAAATGGACATGCGCTGTTGCCTTTAATAACAAAAAAACTTCTTTAATCGAGGCTTCAGTACGAACAGAGGGTGGGCTATAACATACTGTAAATTACACGTACTTGTTTTGGTGAGAGGTGTTCAGTTCAGACCAAGGTCAGTGAAAGAAGCTTATGACACAGTGCTGCTATTTCCACAATCAGCCCTCATATTTACCGCTGACAACGGCAGCAATCTGTTGTAAGTACAGTGCAGACGAAGTTTTATAGCTCATTAACATTGAAAATATCGGTCTACACGCTTCCTCTTGTTCCAACGTATAATCACCAATCTTATACATGTATAATATTTCCAACTCCAGGAGGAGGCGTGTTGATCTGTTCATGTAAGCTCATCTATAATTCCATAGTCTATTAAATTGATGACATTCAAAGAAAGTTGGATCGATTTACGTAGACCGATATTTACAATGGGAATGAGCCCATAGTTTCATTGGCCATGAGGACATAATTAGTTTCCGAGGAGAACGATACTCTTAAAAGTCGACAATCAATTCTGAGTTTAGTTTGTTATCAGTAATTTTTACAGAGGAAAAGTATCTGCAAAATAAAAAGCAAGAGCCCCAAGGATCAACCGAAGGATCCTAGTTTTTAATATAAACAATTCTGCAGTAGATTCACCGTGTCATTGCATAGTCTCGCTCGGTACTTCAAGCACTATCGGTATCGGATTTATCAAACATTGCCCCGGTCAGTTCGAAAATTCAGAAAATGAACAATCTTCAATATAGTTTTTCGATATATATTTTTAAGTCAGTTGTTGTATTAACAAAGGACTATTGTCTTAAAACCAGATACTACTTTCCTGTTGTTTTAAGCATATAAAATTAATTTAATATACATGAAACCGACAGAAACAATAGATAAATAAGTTGCATATCTAAAAGAGAAAGGGAAAACTTGAATGTTTATTTCTATTGGTTATGATAGATTTTATCTTAAATATTTCATTAAGTGAAATCGACACGTGGTTCCAAGTAAAGACATACGTCCGAATAAATTTGTAGTAAAGTAAACAGTTTGTTTCAAAGAGTCAGCTACTTCAAATTAAAACATGACACTTGAGTGAAGTATTGAAGCAGCTGGTAGTTTACTGCAGCCTCCTAGCCATTGTCAACAATATTGCGGACGCTGCTGTTTGCAGTCAGAGGACCCATCTCCAGCTGTTCTTCAGCCAACACTTCCTGTCATGACGAAATGGTGAAGATGTTTAGGCAGTAAGACAAGTCTCAGTATCGCAAGTGTTAGTGAATGTTTGCGGAAAACATAGATCTAGCTTTTACCATAACAAACAGAGTTGCTGACTTTTGGTTATTTTTGATTAATATTATTTACAATTTGAAATTAAATATAATATTAAATTGAACTAAGAGACGAGTAGAAAAATCAGGAATTTTTCTTTCTTTATTTTTACCTGAGCTATATGTAAAACTGGGGAGGCGACCATATGAGTTGGAAACTCATTCACGTAGTAGTCAAAGAGCCAACTAAATTCAAATAAACAAAAGTAAAATTATATTAGATAAATAATCAAATGAATAAATAAATAAATGTAGTAGTGAATAACAGATTAATATGATACATATTAACTAAATAATTTTAAATAAAATTTCATGATATAGCAAAATAAGTTAACCAAACTTTTTAGGAGCTTTCACAGCAACCAAAATTGCAGGAAGACAAATATATCGAGGATATTCGTACTGATGACTTAAAAGGCCAGTCATACTGCTTATTCTTTGATCCACGTTGCTGAAATGAAATTGATAAAAATAGTTCATTCATTCTGAATAGACCGTTCAATGTGAGCCACGTTGGGGGGTAATGCAACTGACCACCGAAGAGTTTTACGAAGTAAAAAGCAATTCATCAAAAAAGTGCATTGAACAAAACTATGCTACAATGGGTTAGGACTATCCTGGAGATTTCATTGAAAAAAATTGGAGGATTGCCTTGGAGGATTTTTCTTCTGGCTTCTGCTCTAGAAGGCACCTCAATCCAAAGTGTGTGTCTAAATTAATTCGAAAAAAAAATGAGCACAAACTGCTCTCGATCACTTCATACTATTCTTATATTAGAAAACTCCGATGGGCCTCTTTTAAATTTTGCGTGAATTTAGTTCCAGAAGAAATCTTTTAAATCTATTCCTATATTTTGTTTCCCAATCAAATTACTTCATGAACTATTGAAAGATGGTATATGATTTTTGGCTTCATATTTTCTATAAAAACTATTGACCTAAATGTAGTCATTATGCCCATAACTGTATACTTTGTCTATCTTACCTTTCCTCCATTAATTCAAACAGCATGACACCAAGAGCATAGTAACCTGCTTTCCAAAAGGTGGGGCAATCCCTAAGTACCCCTAAATTTAGTCATTATGCCCATAACTGTATACTTTGTCTGTCTTACCTTCCCTCCATTAATTCAAACAACATGACACCAAGAGCATATTAATCTGCTTTCCGCGAGGCGGGGCAATCCCTAAGTACCTCTGGGGTCATGTTCTTGTAGAGGGTAAAGCTCATTAACTGGACAACATGGTTGCTCTCCCCAGCCGCATTCAGAGGATGGGCGGACCCCAGATCACACTGTTAGAAAGAAAACACCAGTTAAAAAAATTAAATAAAGAAATATAATATTCCGTTTAAAAAATATAAGTGTTGGGCATGTCCAAAACGTTTATGATCAATCGCTTTAAAAACAAACAAAGATGATTTAGGCTTCGTTCACATGCAATGTCTATTTTCTAAATTCTATTTTCTATTCGCGGTATGTCTTATGATCACGGTCTGTGCACTGAATATCCCGCGGCGTAATTACTGGCAGCGCGAGCCAGTAACTATAAGTTACTATAAGTAACTGGCTCGCGCTGCCAGTAATTACGCCGCGGGATATTCAGTGCACAGACCGTGATCATAAGATAGCGCGAATAGAAAATAGAATTTAGAAAATAGACATTGCATGTGAACGAAGCCTAATTCGCCAGGCTTTTATCAACAAAATAAAAATTTTACCAGTTCACAAATTCCTTGCAGGCTGACCAACACGTTGTTGGTTTTGATATCAAAATGAGCTAGTTTTAGTTGATGCAAGTGCCCAATTGCCAAACAGACGCACGTGGCAATATACTTCACCATTTGGATAGGAACTGTGTCGCTAAATAAATAAAAAGTGTGTCAACATAAGGTTCTTTACAACTAAAATGAAAACCAATTTTGGCGCGTAATTCTTACAAAGATATTTTTAGAATAAAACAAGATCAATTAAAGATATAATTAAGAAACAGAATATCGCTTACAAAAAGCGCTCCCAATATTTCTTAAGTATCTCTAGGTCCAATGGGCATAACTCGGTCAACAAAACGGGAAACCCCGGTCTAATGTCAAACGAGTGAGTGACTCTGGAACCGAAATTGCTCACGTACAGACAAATACATATCGGGTGAACGAAAAAGAAATTAACTTCGTTCACAGTGATTTGTAATTGTATCATAAATGATGGCATTTAAGTTCATGGAGTTTTATCCGCCTGCTTTGATCTTATACTCATAATGAACTTGGTATAATGAACTGGCACCTAAAATCTATTGAAATTTCAAAGCAT